TGTCGCTTACCACCAGGCTCACGACTTATTTGTCCCGTCACTAGACATCATAAAAAAAATCTAATTAAGATCGAGATATCGAACGATACATGAACTCCGATCGGTGTAAACACCTCGAACATTTACGATTAAAGTAAACGTGTAACTAAATTGGTAATTACTTAAATAGTCACCTGTATGCAGAACTTTTAGCGTATTACCACACTTACCGACACGGAATTGAACATTGGCTATACGAGTAAATGTCCGGAGTAAAATTTATTCCTATATTATTATATTATAATTTTTAGAAAATTCTTTTAAAGATAGATTGCTAACGAAGCCTTATAACCTTAGATTATTAGCCTTTTCTCATTTTATTTCATAACGCGTATGAATTTCAGCACATAAATAGAGTCTGGATGTAGTTTATGGCAATTTGTTTAACCACAAGTAATTAAAAAACTACTAATACTTTTCAAGATGAAAAGTCACAGGTATGTCCAGACATATTCGTGATATCTTTACAATATATAACAGAATTTAAGTAAACTTGTTTTACCGGTATTTGACCTACTCATTTTGTTTTGCTAAACTTTAAATACGCTATATTATTCCGAGAGGCAGTCAAACAGACTGCTTTCGTATTACAGTGTACCTTTCATATTACTCAAGCACCAACAGTTTAGATAAATATTGCTACCAAACAAAATTTTTTTTTTAATATTAAGTGACGGGACGAACAAGTTGTGCGCCTGATGGTAAGCTACACGCCTGTCCATAATAATAATAATAACGCACACACTCAACATAGCCCCGCACTAGGGAAACCCTGTGTCGCGGGTGCCATGGACACACACATAGACAACTACAAATTACACCCAAACTCACGAGAGAAATAAATGTAGGCCATACAAATATTTCTGCCGGCCCGGGAATCGAACCTGGGGCCTCTGCGTGGCAGTCCGGCATGGTAACCGTTCAGCCACGGAGGCAGTTAATCCATAACAGGGCACTGCCGCTACGCCCGTCACCCTGAGACATAAGTTGACACGTCTCATGTGCCTGTAATTTCACCAGCACCCTTACCCTCCGGAACACAGTAATGCTGACATTACTGCTTGGCGGCAGAAATAGGTAAGGTGACAGTACTTCCCTGGACGAGCTCTTTCACAAGGAGCTTTACTGCTACAATAAGTATATACAGTATTATAACGAAACGAAAACCGAATTATAACAAAACCGTTGTTATTTTAGGATATGTTTATCGCAAAGACACGATTAGGTTCGGTTAAGTTAGGTTTAAAAGAAAAAACATTTTCCTCTCAAAATTACCTTCGAGGTTATGAAAATTCGAGCAAATGAATGTCATTTCGGACTAATAACAGGTAACCTAAACGAGTCACTGCCACGTATTTTTGTCCTGTAACGTTTAGTACGAAGTTTTTATTTCACTGTAGTTCTAAACCGACCTCTGAAAAAGGAGGAATTCTCAATTTGACTGTATGTTTTTTATGTATGTTTCGCGATAACTCCGTGAACGGATTTTGATGATTATTTTTTGTTGGAAAGAGGATACATCAGAAGTGATCCCATTAAAATTTGAAGAAAATATTCCACATCTAAGGGTGGCAACGTAAGGGATAAATGACTTTCGAGGTCGTTTTTGTAGTACTCTGTACTGAGATTATAAACCTTGTGACAGGACAATTTTGAATATCAACCAGAATCTTATTATAGAAGCATACATTGTCCCCTAAATGAAATTGTGTTCACGAGTGTCAAGAACAGCTACTTTATTTTTATTCCTCGTATTAAGGTTATGCCTGCCAGTATATTTCTTAAAACAATTACAACAAATTTCGTCAAGTTTCTATATTATTTTATACGTATATCATTATTATTAGTAATTTGGGAAGACATTTAATTTTTGGCTATTAGAGCACTATTTTTTTAAAGTCCAAGAGTTGACCCTGTTTGAGTTTTACAGAAGCTGACAATTACACGTTGTGACAATTTAATATTATTTTATGTCTTTCTTTCTCACTCATTAATTTGAAAATAATACTATAAATAGTATTTATTAATAAACTTTAAATTGAAGATAATTATAACTTTTTTTATAAAAAAACTAACCACAAAAGTTTGTGGTTTTTTTTATAAAAAATGTAAGTGCGCATTTGGCCTCCATCTCACCTGATGGAAAGTGAAGATGAGGTCGATGATGGAGCATGTACACCTAAATAATACCTATTCATTCTCGCCTTGAAAAGGTCCAAGTTATAACATTTAGAGAACAAGTCTGCAGGCAGGGAATTCCGCTCCATAGCCGTTCGCCATATAAATGTACAAGCGTAACGCTTCGTGCGAATCTTTGGAATATCCACAACATAGGGTGGAATCCAAGCCTCCGTCATGTTACCCGGTGATGGAATTACATCTATTTGCAAAGTTTTATTGAAATCGCTTACGGAAAGTGAGTGACATCCAATTTACCGGAATCATCCCCTAATTTGCCACCCTTAGAGGTAGAATATCGATGCAGTCGAATTCAGAACCTCCTCCTTTTTTGAAGTCGGTTACAAATACGGCAATAATATTCATATAATAACGGAATAAGTATCTTCTAAGTAATTATAATAATAATATATCTCTATTCAAAAACACACCTTAGTCTCACATATAGCACAGAGAAGAAATTTGCAGGTTCGAAATGTGAACAAAATAAAATAATATAGATTTATTTGTGTGTATGCATGCGTGCGCGTCTCTCTCTCTCTCTCTCTCTCTCTCTCTCTCTCTCTCTCTCTCTCTCT